AATAAAATGTAAGGGTAAAAAAACTGAGTTCTTAGAAAAAGACATGGCAAGAGATGAGGCAAGCAAAACAGTTCTCTTATTGGAGGTTCAGAACATTTTAAAGACAAACATACATGAAAATTTGTACAAGCTATCTATGACATTTTATGCAAAGTCCTGTAAAAAGGGGGTGTGCTGCCTTCTACTGTGAGCCTGCAGGTTATAGCCATAGGGTAATTAATATGAGATGCTCCAATGCCAACCACTGCCAAGTGGGCAGGGGGAGGGTGGCTCTCTCTCTCTGCCTCTCACTTTCTCTCACCACTCACACATGCACTACTTTGGGGTTCACTGCTTTAACTATTGGTGGGTTTCACTCTGGGTAGGTTGGGACATCTTGCCACTCAAAGGGCACCTATGTAAAATACAGTTTCATAGGCAAAAAATTTTGCTCAGATTGTTAGAAAAAGTCCAGAACATTTTAGCTATAAATCCCTGGAGGATTGCCAGTAACTGGGCCAGCTCCTGGTTTAGATCCATTCTGCCAATACCTGACCCTACCACCCCCTCAGCTCAGCCCACCTGCTCAGCCCTTCCTCAGGGAGCTGCCAAGACTGCTTTACGTAACTGGAAATCATTTGGAAGGCCTTCTGTTGACCTTCCCTAGTGAGGTCATGACATCTCATTTGGGTGATTGGCACTCACTACAGAAATGGTATGTTAGAGCCTTCAGGGAGATGGAAGTCAGAAGTGGGTAACTTACAAAATCGGACGGGATTGGAAATCTTCCTGGTTCATCCTCTCAGACTGGCGGATTTTCAGGATCTCGGTGTAGCTCAGGTTCTGCAGTTTGCTCTTGAACTGGTCCAGGGAGCTAGGCTTGGTTGTAAGTGCTCTCATAACCTGCTCCTTCACCACCTGCATTACCTGCAGACGAAAGAAGGAAGACCATCAGTATCCTGGGGGCTGTCATATCCTGTTCAAAAAAGTCTTCAGGAGTTAATAGCTCACTGCCTCCTCCCCGGTTGCTGCTGCATATACTCTCAGCCCCAGGCTTGCGTGTG